TCGATAACGTTTAAACACACACACACACACACACACACACACAGTCCAGAGCAGTGTGTGAAGGCGTTCTTTATCTCGCCACTCTTCCTTCATTAAACGTTGTGTTTAAACAGGAGGTTAACGTCGCCTGCAGATTCATATTCCAAATGAATTTCTAATTAAAAGTCTCTGTTATTCTTATGGCACTCATACACTGTGTTGTTCTTGTGTGCATGCAGCTCTGTGCATCAGCAGGACACTGGGACTGTCCTTCACTTTTAGCCTGGATGCACAGCTCTGGCTCTGCTCTGCTTTTATGTATCTGAACATAACTGCAGTTAGCACGTCTTTAGATCAGGTGAATAAAAATGCACTAAAACACACGAGATACTACACTGTGTCATTATCTGTTTAACATAAACTGAGGCAAAATGCTGAAACACTGGCTGCAGGTCGTCTGCTAATCAGGAGGTTTGATCGCTGGCTGCTCCAAACCCTCCTCGGGCCAGATACTGAACCCCGAGCTCCTCTCCGTGTGTGCACAAAGCTGCAGTCTTCCCAGCAGTGGACGTCCCACCCTGAGTTCAGACCGTGCAGGCCTCAGTTTGCATGTTAAAGGTTAAAGTTCATTACAGTAATATTAGAAAAAGACCTGACTGATGCTTCAGAGACTTTGAAAAGGTTCTTCGTGCCTTTATTTCATCCCAGCTTAACTGATGTAAAGCACTTGTTCAGGTGTCAGTGTGTAGTTGTAGCTGCTGCAGCTCAGTGGCTCAGTGACGCTGAGTGTTGCTGCGGAGGGCAGGTGGAGGTTTAGTGGGCGTAGACGATGAAAAACCCCAGAAACCTGAGCTCAGGTCCAGAAACTGAAACAAGTGGCGAGCTGAGAAAGCTTACCTGTGTGAAATGTGTCGACTCATTAGCTGCAGCATTCTGAGGCGAGCCAAGCTGTCGGGTTGTTTCCCGGGTAAGCCGGCGTGGATCGAGTTTCAGCCGGCCGCCCTCTTTAATGACCCCTCTCCCTGGCCGACACTCAGAGCCTGTGATCCAGAGCGACCCTCCTTTCACATTCCTGCCAGATTCCGGGTCCCTCCAGCCCTAAAAGAGCCTCCAATCTGTCGGACATCTGCAGCCGGTCTTAACCTTCTCATTAGAGATACCCTCCTCGGTCGGCCCGCCACGGACACGGCTCGCTCCCATCTTTCCCTCGGTCCTGCTTCGCTCTCAGGGGACCCGTGGCAGGGCCAGGACCCCATGTTGAGAACCCCCAGGGAGAAAGTAAAACCCATCATCTTTACCTGCGTGGGCGGATCGGGGTGGAGGAGGATGTGAGGGGGGCGTCTCTGGGGAGTCGCAGGCCTCCTTTTGTTCCTGAGAAGAGAGGGAGGTGAAGAAGAGGACGGTCAGACTGGTTTAACTGGTAACAGACGAAGAGCAAACTCACAAAACTTTAATTCTTAGCGTGCCTCGAATCAGAAAGCTTCCTGAAAACTCATCACACCTCCTTCATCTGAACACAGCATCACTCCAGTGTTTTTAGTGTTTCCAGGATTGCAGGAGACGCCCGTGTGACCAAAAGTATGTGGACACCCTCTGCTGTCCTCAACACAGGGCAGGGAAGTTTGGATTCAGGAGACAGACACTATCTCTACTTTTAAGATTAGGCTTCAAACTTTAGTTAGGGCTGGACCAGGTGACCCTGAATCCTCCCTTAGTTATGCTGCAATAGA